AATGTGAATATATATCATATGCTGTATTAAAAAGATTCATACTAAAACGATCATGCATAGCATCTGGAGCAATAAAACTGAATTGTGTACTAGCACCTTTAATAAAATCAAGAAATCTTTTTTTTTTCTTCAGATAATATCATATTACAATGAACATACCTCCCATATCTGATACACCATATGTTTCTAATGGTTTATTATTTTTTAATAATTGACCCATAAGAATATTTGTTGATATCCAACCAGATAGACCTTCTTCACTACCACTAATTATTCGAACTTGATTTTCTGGTGCTTTAAAATGAACACCAAGAGAACTAAAATAAGAACGTGTACTACTTAATAAATTATTTGTATAATTTGAATCTTTTATTTCAAATAAACGAAGACCAGCTGTTCCACCTAACAAAAATATTATTGAAATTATTTAACAAAAAAAAGAAATTTATTCATTTACCAAGAAAAATAAATGCTCGACTTTTACGAGTTAATGGTATTTCATTGATACAATCAGACATAGCCGATTGAAAATATTGTTGAGTATTAATCTCAGTTGGATCTTTAATTGATGTAATAGGTCCACCAGGTACACTACAAGCTTTTACTTGAGTTACTCGAGATGTTATACCAAGTCCATCGGATTTATCAGCAGGCCATCTAAATAATTATTCGTTTTTCTTTTTTGTTACAATCAATAAAACGAAAAATAATATTACGTATAAAGAAAAATTTTCGAATGTGTTGAACCAGCATCAACAACAACAGCATAATCTCGAAATGGTGTTAATTTAGTAACCCAAATAACTATAAGTGTTATTAAACCACCAATAGAAAGAATACAAATAAGTATTGATAATATAAAAATTATCTTTAAATGTTCTGGTCTTAACATTTCATTAATATATTTATCTAAAATAAATTTTATTTTTCAATGATTATAAAAACATTTTTCTACCTTAATAATATTTATTCATATTGAATTTTACACAATATAAGATAATAGAAAAAAGTTTAACAACAATGTAGTTCTTCTTTTATATTATATTAAGCATCTAGTTCAAATTCAGAGGATGATTTTAAGATAGTTGTCAGGTTCCAGAGGCTATTTTTTAACAAAAATAGGGGATCGCCACATTTTCTAGAACTTTTCCTTAAGCGGATTTCCCTTTCCGAGGTTTCTTGAGAACGGTTCGGCGAAAAGTTTTGAAACTTTCCGGGTAGATAGATCTCGATGAGTAGAACAAAAGTTGTCATAGACTCAAAACCTCCAAATGTTTTCATCCGGGAGATTTTGGGTAGGTCAAAGATCAAAAATAGCCTGAAATGTTCTCCTTTGCCATCCCATTAGATCTCATTTTCAATAGAATAGAAAGATAAAGCAGGAAATTCTGAACATTTCTGTGCATTCATGTTTTTGTTTTGTTAAATGCAAAAAAACAAAAAATGTCGAAGACTAAATAGTCTTAAAGCGTTTTCAATAATAACCATAGTCATTATATTTTTTCTTTTTGAAAACTCCATATGAAAATTAATAGTGTAGATCGATATAGGTTTTTCATGCTCTACAAAATGACATAAAGGATGCCCCATAATAACTGATGATAAATTATTAATGATATTTTTCATACTTTTTCTTGGCCTAGAGAATTGAGATTTTTATCATATGATAAAAATTTCAACGCTTTAGGTCAAGAAAAAGTATGAAAAATAACATTAATAATTTATCATCAGTTATTATTGGACACCCTTTATCAGCTAGTCTAGAGAAAATTGATAATGATTTTTTACCAAAAGATGCACTGTGAAATTTTCTATACTGAATACTAAATCGTACTTTCAAAATTACTGATGTATCAGTAGCAAAATATTGATCTTTGAATTTTGTTGATATCTTATTCAGAATTCGGTCTGAGAAACTTTGAGATAAAAGACTTCAGAAATGTACGATATCAACAAAATTCAGAGATCATTTTTTTGCTGATGATCTATCAACAATTTAGAATGTGCGATTTAGTTTTTCATTATATAAAATCTAATTCTCTAATATCTAGACATATATCTGTTGTACCCATTGTATAGAGATTTTCATGATGTACTTTTTGGTAAAAAAAAAATTATTTATTTCCGCTTGATCATCTCATACGTTTGAATTAACTTTCACGGTAGTAAATTAAATCTTCTCCATAATTTAAGAACATTACTCATATTCCAATTGAGTACTTACTTTTTCTTTTTTTACATAGCATGCCTCATATTCATTATTTCTCATTTAACTTGTTGTATTATTTTTTGATTTACCAATCAAAATCATTAATATTTAATAAAAGCATTCGAATGAAGGATTTTATTCTTTGAATAGATTCTTGAAATAGAGAAAGAAACAACATTAACTTACAACGACTAGGACCATCTGTTAGATGTGTAAAATGAAATAAAATGAAGATAAGATAATGATACAAGTGATATGCAGTAGGTCAAAGAGCTAATCAACACAAAAATCATCCACACAAAATAATTCTAGAGAAGAGAACTAGCCATTAACAATTTTGAACTTTCAAGTTCAAGCAAATATGAACAAGAAATCTCTATAAATATGGCTTAAATTATGTCAAATATT